CAAATTTAAAGAAAATGCTCCTATTAAGAAAGTTGAGGAATCGTGTTTATTTTGTGATAAGCCACATTTAACAGAAAAATGTTTTAAAGCTAGTACGCTTACATATCAGGATAAAAAAGATTTAATATTTAAGAAGGGTTTATGTCTATTATGCTTGAAGAAAAACCATATTTCTCGTAACTGTAAGTCCAAGGTTAAGTGTTTAATTTGCCAGAAAAGGCATTTGGCAGTAATGTGTCAACAAGTTCCTTCTCAATTGAAAGAGACTAAACAAGTAGAGCCTGTGGCGAAAAATGAGGTCAATGTTTTGGCTAGCAGATCCGCGAGCTCCGATGTGTTACTACAAACATTAATCGTAAGGGTAAAAAATGGCAACAGGGAAAGGATAGTCAGAGGGATTATAGATACGGGTTGCGAGAGAAGTTATTTAACGAAAGATATTACAGATTCTTTGAAATGTAACAGTGTTGGTGAAAGTGAAATTAGTTCATAAATTATTCGGAGGTGTAGAAACAAAAGAAAAATTGCATTCTAAATATATAGTTAATTTGAGTAGCCTTGATAATAAATATGTATGTAGTGTGCATTGTTTAAGTGAATCTGTTATCTGTTCTGATGTTAAGAAAATACCTAAAGGTCCTTGGTTGAAAGAACTTCGTAAATTAAATATTCAAGTGTCAGATGTAGAGGGTAATGCTCCTCGAAAACGAAAGTGACATTAAATTGTTGATAGGTTCTGATATTGCTGGAAAATTATTCACCGGAAATATTAAATGTTTACAAAGTGGTCCGGTCGCGATGGAAACAAGTTTGGGATGGATTTTAATGGGTAAAATTCCAGCGAAGGAATCTTCGGGTATAAATGATTCTCTTGCATGTGTTTCTTTATTGCTAAACGAAAGATCAGCAGAAAACTTGTGGAAGTTAGACGTTATTGGTATAAATGACCCAGTTGAGTCTAAAAAGAAAGCTGAAATTCATGAGGAGACCATGCAATATTTTGAGGAAAATTTGAATTTGGATTCAGACGGGAGATATGAAACTGCATTACCTTGGGTACTGGACCCCTCTCGCTTGTCTAATAATAAAACGTTGGCAGAAAAACGCCTGACTAATACGCGAAGGAAATTATTAGATTCGAATCAAATTAAAGTTTATCAGGAAGTATTTGATACTTGGTTGAAGGAACGAATTATTGAAGAGGTAAATGAAGGCGAAGTAGATAGAGAGCACTATTTGCCTCATAGGCCGGGTTTTAAAGAATCTAGCGAAACTACGCGAGTAAGGCCAGTTTTTGATGCTTCGGCACACGCCAAAGGAGAACTTTCCTTAAATGATTGTCTTGAGAAAGGTCCCAACCTAATAGAAATAATTCCAACATTGTTGAATCGTTTTCGGAAATATCCTGTTGCAGTAATTTCAGACATTGAGAAAGCCTTCTTGCAGATTGGTATAAGAGAGAAGGATAGAGATTATTTGCGTTTCTTTTGGAAAGGTGCAAAAGAAGAGAATACTAAAATTTACAGACATTGTCGCGTGGTTTTTGGGCTTAACTGTAGTCCATTTTTGTTAGCCGCTACGTTGAACTATCATTTAAATCGTGCCCCAGATCAGTTTGCAGTTACAGCCAACATTTTGAAGGAGTCCTTCTATGTTGATAATTGCCTGACTAGTTTTAAGAATGTTGAAGAATTGAATAGATTTGTACTAGAATCGAGAATGTTATTGTCACTGGGAAAGTTTAATCTTAGAGGATGGCAGTCGAATTGTGAAACCGAAATAATTCCCAACTCTAAATTAGATACATTCGTTTGCGTTTTAGGGTTAAACTGGGATTTGAAGGATGATACTCTTTCCTGTAAAACTGAGTCACTAAAGAAAGAGGAGATTGTCGCGAGTAAACGAACACTCCTTTCTTGCGCGCATAAGTTATTTGACCCAGTAGGCTTCCTTTCTCCCGTTACCCTGTTCCCAAAGGTGATATTGCAAGAGTGTTGGAAATTACGATTAAATTGGGATCAAAAATTGCCAGAACATTTAGAAAAGCCATCATGGCTGTTAGAACCAGAATCGTCATGGTCAAGAGGCACCGATTTGCCGGACGAAGAGATCATAAATTCAGAAAGGCGTAAATCAGTATTGACAACTCTTAACAAAGATTCTAAACCTGACAATTGGTATTACAGGTACTTTTCATCCATAAAGAAAATTGTACGCATGTTAGGTTGGATTCTTAGGTTTTACTTTAAATTACGAAGAATTACAAACGAAACCTCCAAAATTTTGTCAGTTTCGGAAATTGAAAGAGCTGAGATAACTCTTATGTTATTGGTTCAAAGAGAATCATTTAAGAGTGTGAACGATGATAAAATTAAAGACCTCAGACCTATAGTTGATCGTGATGGTTTGATCAGAGCTAAAACCAATATTTCTTATCGCGACGATACTGATGACTTTAAGTTTCCTGTCATTTTGCCATCTGATCATGTAGTAGTAAAATTACTAATAATGAATGCACATAATGAGCTGCTGCATGCTGGTACTTCTATGATGATGTCTCATTTGCGGGAAAAGTATTGGATCCTCAAAATCAAACTCAAAACTCAAACTAAGACAGTACGAAACTGCATTAGAAAATGTGTTAAATGTCAAAGATTTAAATCCAAAAGTTGTGATGTAACTCCAGGAATTTTGCCGAAAGATAGAGTACGTGATGCAAATGTTTTTGAGATAGTGGGTGTCGATCTGGCAGGACCCCTCTACCTTAAAGATGGTCGAAAAGCTTATATTGTTCTTTACACATGTGCGGTCAATAGGGCCATTCATCTGGAGTCAGTCAGTAACATCCTTGACAACTGAAGCTTTTTTCCAGTCATTGAGACGTTTCATTTCTCGTCGCGGAAGACCATCTATAATATACTCAGACAATGGCAGTAATTTTAAAGGAGCGGAGAGCCTTCTGCATACAATTGATTGGGAGAGTCTGCGATCAAAGGCCGCTGAGCAAAGAATTCAGTGGAAATTTATTCCTCCTTCCGCACCTTGGTGGGGCGGTTGGTGGGAACGTTTAGTTCAAATGGTGAAACAGATTCTGAGAAAAGTTCTAGGTCGTGCTGCCCTGGATTACGAGGAGTTGCTTACAGTACTATGCGACTGTGAGAGAGTAATCAATACTAGGCCACTTACCTACGTGTCGGAAGACGTTGAAGATTCATCCCCATTAACTCCAGAAATGTTCCTGCGGGAGATTTCCAAATCAGGAGTACCTGATATCGATACAGTGGATAAGGAAAAAACTGAGTAAACGAGCTAAGTATCTACAAAAGGTGAGAGAACAACTTAGAGCAAGATTCCGTGTGGAATATCTAGGACAGTTACGTCAGCAGTCCATTAAAAACTCTATAGCTAAACCTCTCCAGGTGGGTGAAATTGTTCTACTTGAAGATAACAACAAAAAACGTGCTTTTTGGAACCTGGCGCGTGTCATAAAGCTGCTACCTGGTCGTGATGGACAAATAAGACTTGCTGTCATAAAAACAGAGACTTCTGAGTTTCTGAGACCAGTGCAAAGACTGTACAGACTTGAGCTGGATAACCCAGTCCAAAAGGATATGACTGAAAATATTCCTATGACTACCAGCAGTGGTAGAACTGTGAAACCAGTGATACGTCTGTGAAATGTTTTGTACTTGTTTGAATACTTTGTAATAATTTGATTTATTTTTATTTTTCTAGGTTTAGTATTATCTGTTAATATGTCTAGAAAATTATGGAATGCTGCATCTCCAGGTAAATTTGTATTTCAATTTAATTAGAACATCTTGGTAGGCATAATTTTATACTTCAATATTGTATACTGTACTATTATGCATATATTATACTTAACAGATGTGTGAATTTACCTCCCAGTAAATTCAGGTGGGAGGAATATGTAGCGAATAGTTTATCCAACAGATGGCAGTATCTGCCAAGCTCCTTTGGTAATTGTCAATGCGCATGCGCAAGCGGAGTGTAAAAAGAAGTATGTTATTAGGAGAATGAGCTTTCGTTAATAATGTTGCTGCGCGTTTTCGCTGTGTAAATAAAAGTGTATTTTTATATCATAGATGTTCTTTACTCTCTAATGCAAAGCACTAGGTTAGTGCACGAATCTCTTCTGATCCAGAAACCATTTTCAAACCGTGGATCACCACACTCAGTGCTTTACAGTTTCTGATGTATTCTAAGGATGATGATGAAAAAGAATTTCCGAAGGGCCTCCAGTTTTTGCACTGGCTAGAATCATTGAATATTCATTTATGATTATGCAGATACACGAGAAAGACTTAATTTTTTTTATAGAAAATATCTAACACCGATTCGGACTACTCGAAATGCTTAATACACCTCAAGTTGTTGTGTAATTACGTAGCTGATGAGAAAATTCACGAAAAGCTTTGCGGAAAATTTACATCTTCGAAATTTATCCTGTTCGAGATGGGTTAAACACGTCATAAGAAGTCACTGTTAATCTCTCTCTTGAAAATTTGGAAATTAATTAACTTTGTTCATAAATTTAACATATAAAAATAAATAGTACCAAACGCATTCAAAGATATTATTAAATATCATTATACGTAGTTAATTATAATAAAAATCATGTATGAAAATATTTTTAAATCTCCTCAGTAAAATAATAATTTAGCATTTTAATCTCCCCCCCCCCTGCGCAAGATAAATATGAGCATAAAATTTTAACTACTTTTCTTGCAAATTATTTCCCTTGAGTTACCGTTTCAGTATTCAATATTGTAAAATATATATCGACAACTGTCATGGAACTGAGGTTTCACTGCACTTCGTAATGGTATTCTTTTCAAATAAGTGATGAGAATCTGTGTAATTAATTTTATAATACACATTCACCAATAATCTTATTAGCAAAGACAAAAAGTACCACAGATAAAAACATTCTGACAACTAACAATATGTCTTTTATCTGAAAAATATATTTTCGTTACCTCGTGTTTTATAACTTGATCTATTTCCTTTCCCATTCTTTGTTTTATCTCTCTTAGCTTGGAGAGAATATAAGGTGATACTTTTCTTGATAAGTCTTCATTAGCCTGAAACAATATCCTTATATTCAATAAAAAATTTTAATTTCTTCAAAATATTAATTTGCATTTGCTATCGAAAAACATTGCGTTTTATAAATAACTATGAAAACTAGTTCATTTTTAAAAACTTTAAGATGACAAAATAAAATTTCATGATGTTTTTAATTCTGATTCATTTGCCACTTACGTGGCAAATGAATCAGAATGGCTATGTTAAATGCAAATATATCATCGTAACCACGCCCAGTCATTTGAATCCCCTACAAAGTTGTTATTCAGCCACTGCGGTTGCTTCACTGGGAATTAAAAATTTTTGTGCATAATTTTCTATCCTACATTTCAGGAAAAGTTGAGGTTAACCCCATATCATTGCATTGTGAAAGGAATATCACTTCTTTTCAACTGATGAAAAGCTTTTTATGCCTTTGAGATTTTTATCGTTATCAAAAATACAGTCTACCTACAGTTTGCATTCGGGGTACTCAAGCCGGTACCCACGGCAACCTTGCATAAAAAAATACGTTCATAGACGTTCTTTGCTTGCATATCGCCCGCCGAGCTTCGGTAATTTTTTTTTTTTTTTTTTCTGCAACAGTTTTTCATGGGATTGAATGTAGAGGGCGTTCGGCGGGGGAAGGATCAGAAACTTGGTTGCCCTTGTCTTGGGTTTCGGAAACATCGAGGGTGATAGCGTGTCTTAACTTGACCTTCTTATCGCCTCTCTCCGGTTTAAAATTACAATGCGAACGCGCACGGAGGCTCGGCTACCCAATTTCTGAAAAAAGAGGGAGAGATAAATTTCGGAAATGCATGTAAATGACACGTACATGACGTTGAACGCAGTTTCTGAGAGGGTCGAAAAATTTCACCGAAAGTAATTTCTGTATTATGTTTTTGTAAAGACCGGGTCCTCGCGGGTTAACAGGATGATAATGTTTTAAAATTGGGGAGCACGATATTACAAGGCTCACCACACCAAAAAGAGCTGACAAATGTGAAAAGAACTGCAGGTCAGAGTCGACTCTTGACTCGACCGTATGACACAATTATGTTACGTGTTTAACAAGTTTCAAAGGGCAAATTTTGACCCGCATTCTTCACCACTCTGAGCTTTTGGCAGTGACAGTGTGAGTGGTGTACCTAGTCGTGTTCGGCATCCTCATTCTGCGTAGGAGCTTAGCAATTTGGTTTTTGTCTACCGCTGCAGCACAACGAGTGGGCCCAGCAAAAGGCAGAAGATATACAATTACAATTCCAGCTGGGAAGAAATATATTGTTTTGTTGATGGGAAAGAGAATGCGTGTGTTTTCTGTGTGGTGCTTCTTTAGCATTGGAAAGCCTGTTTAACGGATTCTCTAACAAGCGTGAAATCATCAATGCGATTCAGGACTTTCAAATATCAGACAGCACTGTTTTAAGCAGAATAGAAGCAATTGCTGATGGCATGCAGTCTCAAATGAAGAGAGACTTGGAAACATGTGAATGGTTTTCTCTCCAATTTGAATCCACGGATATTTCCGACACGTCGCAGTTAGCTGTTATGATAAGAATGGTATATTTAACGACTTTTCTGTTAAAGAAGAATTATTAAAAATTTTGCCTTTGAAGATGAGAATGCGAGGAGAGGACATTTACAACATTTTTAAGACATTTTCGGCAGAAATTGGCTTGCCGCTTAAACCGCTATCGGCAATTACCATAGACGGAGCACCTGCCATGACAAAAATGACCAAGGGTTTTGTTGCTTTGCAAGAAAGACGAGTGTTTTCCAAATTTATGTCTTATCACTGCATCATTCATCAAGAAGCGTTGTGCGCAAAGATACTTCCATTTGAACACGTGGATTATCAATTCTATTCGTGCGGCTCCTTTGCAACACCGGCTTTTTAAAGCACTCCGAAGATAAAATAGTCGACCTTATCTTGCATGCAGAAGTCCAATGGTTCAGCAGAGGTAAATTTCTATCAAGGTTTTTATCTCTAATCGAGCAGATAAAAGAGTTCATCCAATCAAACCCTGACAAATTCAATAAACACATTGAAAAAGTAAGTGACTCTTTGTAGCTACTTGATCTGGCTTTCCTCGTCGATATCACTGAAAACCTCAACATTTTAAATCTGGATCTTCAGGTTAAAGACAAGGAGCTGACTCAAATGATGAGATCTGTGAAAGCTTTCAAAGCCAAATTGACATTGTGGATGTCTTAAATAATATCAAAGTCCCTGGTTCATTTTCCAAACATGAAAGAAAATGGCGAGTGACGACAATTTTGGGTCCTTGCGATTTTACGGCCATCTCGAGACACTTCTGGACCAATTTGAAAGCGATTTCAAGATTTCAGTTGCCTGGAGCCAGTGGTGAGCTTTCTTGTCAACCCATTCACAACGAAGCAACTGAAACCGCCACAGCAAGTGCAAGAATCATTGCCGCAGAAGTGAAAACCTCGAGCAAGAAATAGTCATACTGAAGACTGATATCCTGCAAGCACATGCCACAGATGTAGACTTCTGGAAACTTGGAAAAGAACAGGTTTAAAAATGAGATTGAAATAATAAGTAAATTTTAAGATTATGTTTTGTAGGGGTAATCTGGCCAGCTATCTTAAATTATAATGTGTGGGAATATTCAATAAATGTGTTTATTATTTTTATTATTGTATGTTTCTTTGAGTTAAATTGTGGTCTATTGTAAGTTACCCATGTGATCCTTACGGAACATTAACCATATTGCGGTAGTAGAAAAATCAGTTTTAAGAGTCGTTTTAAAAGTTGGTGACTATATCGGCTTAATTAATTAATTTTGATTTTGATAAGTAGACTTCTTTGGTGCTAGATTTATCTTTCCCTGGTGTTTTGAAGAGTTCTGAGTTGTATTTTAAATGTTAAGTGTTTTATAGCTATATCTAGATTTGTATTGAAATTTATGTGTTTACAGGTTGGAGACCTGAATTAGCTTTATTTTAGTGAGAGATAGCACATTGAAGATTTTGTTGAAGTGCATTTTTCGCATTTTGGTTTTGACAAATAATCGTTATTTTACCAAAACATCAGGGAGGATATTTTCTTTGATTTCTTTGATTTAAAGTATTTAGTTTTTGTCGCGGCACCAAAAAGAAGTGAGTGTTAAAAGTTAAATGTGTAAAAGTAATTTGTTCTCTTTTTCCTACGTAACACTTTTCTTTTCACTCATTGGTTTAGCTTATATTTGATTTTCACATGACTTGGAGTTCAAACCCTGACTATAACAAAAACATATAGGATAATAGCACAAATCAGATGGATAATATTCATCTACATGTACCTACACTGATTGAAGGAGAGTATACAGATGAATTTCATATTAAAATATCATCATTAAACAACTCACAGGAAACAAATTTCACTTCTTACTGACGTACACAATGAAATACTTCGCGTAATTTAACAGACCATATCCTACAAGGAGAATCATATCAGAAACTCAGGGAATTTGGTCATCTTGACTTCTTTTCCTGAAAGAAGTGCAGGAAAATGTGAGATTAATTTGAAGAAATATAAAAAACTCGTAGTGATTTTAAGCCAACCAAGCAATCTGACAAAATAATTGAAACAATGGAAAGCAGTTTTTCTCTGGCTACTTCAAATTCGTATAATGTATTAACATAAGATAACGATTGTATGATAATTGAGGATCAACAACCACCAGCTACGTACAACCAAAGTGCAACAAATAATATTACTACCAAAACAGATAGCAACTCCTCTAAAAAAGCAAACAGATGGAACATTCTGAAATCATATGAACCGGAGTAGCGCTCTCATACAGCAAACAGAAACTGGTCAATATAAAATAAATTAAACGAAATTTGTGCCTCCAAGTGTGAATACGTGGACAATCTTCCAAATGTAAATTGATTTCTTATTCAACTAAATGACTTGCATGGAACCAAAGTAATTGGAACTTTACTAAGCAATGGACAATATAAAAAGTTTTCCCCCCGGGCGCAAATGCCATAGACTAATTCAATGAATTGTTTCGCAAAGATATTACCAGATCATACTTTTGAACTACCATATAATAAGCTACTTATACTGATCCGTGGACTTTCTGTTACTTACCAACAAAAAAGAAATCATCTCCAAATTTACTGACCCAGGTACCCAAAGCACATATGCAAATGTATAACAGAAAAGCCAGAGTGTTATTACCTCACTTCCTAATTTATCTCCAGCCCACTGAACAAAACCAAAGAATTTACAATGTCATTTCTATTGGCTAATTTAATGTTAAAATGGAAACTCTACATCCGCCTACTGCCCTGGCCCAAAGCTTCAGGAGTTTTATCACAATTTGTATTGTGTGCATCAAATTACACGAGCAAAGACTTTCTTTTCGCCATACAAGGGGCGGCCGAACCACTGGGCGTTAGTATATCATCCAGAAATACCCAGTTTTGTAATCACCTGTAATAGGATCCACATGCTTTGCCGATTGCATGTATACTCCAGCTGTCAAACGGCAACTTTTCTTTGAATAAACCAGAACCTGCGAAGTGTGCTGGGTAATCCGAACTGCATTCGGCCAGTCTGGATGCCCAAACATCCACGCAACTTAGCTAATAATAAATACTTCAACATCTCAACCTAAAACTGGACGTTGCAGCAAGAATTTATCATCATTCCTATGCACTTTCTTCCAGGAACTAAACCTATTATTTCTTCACAAGACTGCAAACTTCCTTCTGCAGAAAGTAGTGTTGTGTGCGTACGGGTTCGTAATAGATTGAATACACACAAGCCGGATGAGAGGTTGATAAAATTTATTTTATCAAAAGAACACTTCAGAATTCTGGAGAGCTCCACAGAAATACACGTATAGGTGTTCACAGTAACAAAGAGTACTATCAGTAGTTACACTTCAAACTACTAAAAGTTATATTACTATTAAGTTAAACACACCGCAAGCAAAGCGCATCTAAAAGACGAAGTTTTCAATACTCCAAAATTGCTCACAACAAGAACAACAAC